ATATATATATGTCATTTTTAGATTTTAAAATTGATCAACTTCATTTTTTTTCCTTTTAAGTCTCAATTTTAATATATATAATTAAGATGTATAATTAATGTTTAAGTTTTCAGAAATCAAATTATTGGTCTCCATGAAATTGTTTGTTTGACATTTAATTAATATTTACGATTTGTTAAATAAAAATCGATGAAGAACAAGTAAATTATATTTCTATGGTCATTTTAGTGAGTCAAGTGTGTAGCGAAGACGGGATGGAATTTACTTTAAGGACACCGGAAGGATTCATTGGTCGGATTTATACTTATGGCTATTACGATCGCTGTTTCTTCCGTGGAAATGGAGGAACTGTGAACGTTCTTCGAATCAGTGGTCCCCAGGGTTATCCCGAATGCGGCACTCAAAGAGTAAGAGACTTGTTTTGTCGCTACTTTTTCAAAAAACATTTTTGAAAAGATCTCATTTCTTCTTCTACTTTTTTTTTGTTTTTTGAGAAATAAAACAATTTTTGAGATCTCTCATTTACAATTAATTGAATAAAAATTTTTAGATATTTTATTAAAAAAAGAATCAAAATTTTTATCTTATATCTTTTATTTTTATAATAAATTGGACTTACAATTGCAGTACGGAGATACAATGACGAACATCGTCGTAGTACAATTCTCAGACTACGTGCAAACCGGAAGAGATAAACGTTTCAATCTCACCTGTCTATTTCGAGGCCCTGGCGAAGCTGTCGTCACATCCGGCTACATCGGTGCCGGGTATGCCAGGTCATATCGATTGAGAAACCGTGTCTTGCACCCGGTACATTTAATTAAACAGTCCGACCGACGGTCAACTAATTTGGAATGCAAAATGTACCGCATTCCTTTACCGCATGAATCCTGGTGCAAGCACACTTGATTAATTTATTTTAATACCACTAGAGTTTCTTCGTTGAAAATTATCTAATCCTGTAATCTTAAATTTAAATATTGTTTAGAAAATTTAGAAAATATCATAACTGATTTGTTTGAAATAAATGGGAATAATAATTTTTAAAAAATATATTTTACGATTTGTAGATTTAACGATTTGTAGATTTTGTTATATAGAACTTATATTACAATGTTAAAATCAGAAATGCTAAATGATATTTTAAGTATTGATAATTGTAAGATAATTAATATAATATCTAAATAATTTTTGTAAAAATAAATTTTCAATAAGAAAAATAATATCATTATTGTTTGATATAAAAAAAAATATTGAAGTGCTATATTCTATGTCTTTAAAAAAAGATAAGAATAGAATTAACTTAATCGAATTCATAATTATCTTGTGTAGATCAGGGTCTCCAATCCCAATCGAGTACCTTCCAGCAGAAAATACTCTGAGTTCTCGAGTGCGTTTGCTGATTTTATATCAGGGCAGGCCTACGACGACTATTGCTGTTGGAGATCCACTCACATTTAGGCTAGAAGCACAAGATGGGTATGTAATATTTATTTTTCTTTTAAAATCAATTTGTTTTAAAAAAATGAAATATAATTTTTTGATAATATTTTTTATAGATACAATTATGTTACTGACATTTTTGCTACTAATGTCATAGCAAGGGATCCATATTCAGGAAGAAGTGTTCAACTTATAGATAGATATGGGTAAGTATATATTATTGTAAATTATTATTGTTTGTATTTATCATATTTGTTAATAATTAATTTATTGTATCAAATTTTTTTATTGTATTTTTTTTTTAATTCAAGTAAATCTTTCAATAAAAATAAACGAAGAAAAATATTTTTGTATTTTAATAATAAAGAAATTTTGATTGATTTCTTAATAATAGAAATAATCTGATTTGCTTTTATATATCTGACTATTTTATTTAATTAAATAATCTATTTGAAATATTCAATTTTTTCACACAGTTGTCCAGTAGACAATTACGTATTCCCTGGATTAGATCGTTTGCGGGATGGTGACAGCCTCGAAGCACGTTTCAACGCTTTCAAAATCCCTGAATCCAATTTCTTGGTGTTCGAGGCGACAGTGCGAACATGTCGAGATGGTTGTCAACCAGCTTATTGCTCGGGTGGTACCGGAAGGAGCGAACCATCCTTTGGAAGACGTCGAAGAGACTTGTCGCAAAATGACACGATTGCTGAGGAAAACGAAATAAGCATTATAACAGAGAATAATACAAATGACACGTCCTCGAATTCGACGTTCGTCGTCGAAGACACTGTCACCAAAGAAGAAGAAGAAAAGGCGGAAGAGGAAGAGGAAGAGGAGGAGGAACACGTGAGAGAAATGATCGAGGTAAAAAAGAAAAAGAAATAAAGAGAAAGCAAACTTTATAATGATATTAAGAAAATAATTCTTTTTAAATTATTATTGGAATAATTGAGATGATTATAATGGAAATTTTAACTTCATTGACCTATTTCTAAATTAAGTGAAATGAAAATAATTATTTTTAAATTTCAATATATATAACTTTATATTTCAAATTATTTGTTGTAACTTGGAAATCTTGAATATATATATTTTTCTTTCTTTCTATTAATGAAATTATTTAAAACAAGAAATTTAATACAAGCACATTTCAAAAATAAAAGAAAATGTGTCTAAATGAGTTGCAGGTTTTGGATTCAAGAATGGATATTGATGAAGAAACTGTGGTCGAAAAACAAACTACTATAATGGAGAGCGTCTGCATAACTCCTAACGAATATTATGGACTAGTAACAGCAGTGGCAGTGCTGGTAGTACTTTTAGCATCCGTGGTATTATTATCCATGTTGATATACAGGTACACATTATAAATTATGATTTATCTTTGATATGTTAATTAATATGTTTACAAAAGTAAATTAATTTATATAAACTGTTTCAGAAAATATGCTTACGCAATAATCACAAAGAATCGCAGAGTTGACAAAGCATGTAATCGAAGCAGTCATTCGGACGATGTTTATAGTAGTCGTGCTAACAATTTCTCTTTCTTAAGATCGGGTCTTCAGAAACCATTTCAGTCTACGTACGTAATCGTTATCGGACGTTTATATAATTTACAATATTTTATAATTTTTAAAAACACTTTTATCGATATTAAAATTAATTAAGATATTTAAAAACTTATCTAGAAAACTTATCTTATTTTGATTACCAAATGCAAATATGTGGGAATTAATTATATGTTATATTAAATCATAATATGGTAATCATTTTTTAAATATCGATAATTATTATAATTGTATTATAGTATAGTAATTTTAAAATTTGAGATTCAACATAGTCCTTGAAAGAAATAAAATATACTTTATATTGTATATAAATATAAAAATTATAATGCGTTAAATAACGTTAAAAACAAATCTAAAAACTTTCTTAAAGAAAAAGTCAAGCAATTTTTTGCAATTAAAAATAAATTTTCCAAAAATTGAATTTTTAAATCCCATTTTTTAACAAAAATATCTCCAACATATATAATATTTTAACTTCAAAGCTACACCAACATTTTCTACTATAAATATAGTAGTATCAAGGTTTATTCAAACGTCATTCATGTTTGACAAATGGTTTAATGGCTCTTAATACTTTCAACGTGAAATTCGATATTTATTCACCAATATATTACCTGAAGTTGATGTATATTCGTTCGATCCACAGGTCGATCTCCCGATCAATGAGTAACGTGATCGGTCAACGCGTGAGCTCGTCATCGACCGCTCTGGAAGGCGCAGTAGGATTGTCATCCAGTAGAAGAACCGGCTTTGACCCTAGCGAACCGATCTACACCGATCCATCATTGTTCGAGGTTGCTCGTTGCTCGTCGTCTAAACCTGTCCTCGATGATAACTTCCATCTTATGTGAAGATCAAATCTCGTTAAATATTTCTTCTTAAAACGTGAACTTGGCGTTAGTTCAACATTCGAGACTTGAAAATAGAGAAATAGAGACGTTAATGGGTTTTCTATTGTAATCAAAGAAAATAGGAAAATTTGGATAAAATTGTCATTTCACGATTCTTTAACAAAATTTAATTTCATTGATATTAGAATTTAAAAATACTTGCTATATAGTATTGTTGTAATAATTTGATTAATGAATCATTTATAGACTTTGTTGATTTTCGAAATATTAGATTGTTCTTTCTATTACGATTTCTTTCTCTTCTATTTTTTCCATTTTCATGATTTCAAACACAGCTAGTCAAATTCATTGACCACTGCCAGCTATGACTGCCATGTCAATAAACTGACGTATTGTATATTGTCATTGATTTACTATGAGTTTACTATGAGTCAAGATTATTCTCTTTATCTATTGTTCAACTCTTGTCAAACTCTTATATAGAGATATAATGATTGTATATTAACTCGTTACTTTCCTGAAGATATTTATAATTATTTAGTATTAATTTTTTTTAAGAAAAATCTGGAAAACATTCAAAAATTTAGCAATCATAAAAAAATGTTTAGAATGCAATCTTCAATAATCTATTAAAAATAAGTTGATAAATTTTATAAAAAAAAGTAAAATTTAAGATCTTTTTTATCTAATCCTCTAATTTATTTTCTGATAAAAACAGCAATTATTTTTTTGAATTGAATTTTAAAAATTATAATTAGCTTTTTACAATACGATATTTTCAACTTATATATTCAGTTTTTAAATTAGCATGATAAAATGAGACTATTTATAGCTTTTATATGAAATAACCTATAAAACCATCAAAACAAGGATTAAAAAGAAAATCCTCGTTCGTATTTAAAAAACATTACCTATTATGGAATCATAAATAACTAGCATTACGAGCTTTTATTTATTATGATTTCAATTGTAGTTAGAAAGAAATTCCAAATAATAAACAGATATACATAAATAGAATATCGTTCAGTTGTATTTAGTCTAAGATAATCTCCTGTTTTTTATTCCTATAAAATAAAATGAATAAAGACATCGCACGAAGCCATCACGAATATATTCATTTTATTCTCTTCGGTCAATCTTCCTTTATCCTATCTAACTTATAAGTAAAAAGAAGCATCCTTAGCCTAGCCTCTTCTTTACGATAGTGAGCCTCTTCTAATTTAATCCTGGCCTCCTCTTTTAACATAGCAGCGATATCAACTTTCATCTGTGCCTCTGATAAAGCCAATACATGTAATTCTTCCTCTTTATGAAGGGATCTTTTCGTCCTTCGGGGCTGTTCATGAACAATTGAAGGGGAAAACATCGTTTGTGTTGCATTTGATTTGAAAATAAGTCGATTTTTCTCCACTGTTTCATCTTTGTCTAATTGTTCCGGCACAGGTGACTCCAAATCTTTTTTAGATTTGTCGAAACAGTCAGTTACTGGACCGTATGATAACGAATTCGAATCGATTTTACTGCTGATGGAATCTGAGGTAAAGGAATTGTATATGTATTTAAAAAAATATCATACTTTTATTTAATGGTATATCTTTTTTATTTAGTAGCAAATTTTGAAAATCTGAGTTACGAATGCAAAAAAAAAAAAAAGGAAAAGATGAGAGTATAACCTGTATCTTTACAATTATTTTCCTCTTTCGAGATTTGTTTCGAAGGTTTTATAGTACACACAGTTTGCAACGTAAATGGTTCAGATTCCTTTGGTTCAAACATAACATTTGGAGGTAAACCTATAGTTCCGGTAGGAATAGGAACATCTGGTATGGAATTTCTATTTTCCCAACTTTTTGACCGTGTGTGATCTTTGGACAGATGACAAAAATTTTTTGAAACACCGCTGAAAAAATTAATAAAAAATATTTATTTCATATTTTTAATAATATTAATAAAAATAGATTGATTTAATAAAAATAAGAATACAAATTTATATAAAAATAATTATTTAAAGTAAAAAAAAAAAATAAAAAGAACAATAATGATAAATGAAATACTTTATACATAGTACAAGTAGTCGAATATTCCCGCGCTTTTATAAAACAATATACACGAAAAATAATACCGTGAATGTATTATATTTACCGCAATTTCTTCTCTTCGCGATTTCGTTTACATGCTTTCATGTTTTCCCAACAGCGTCTTAACTGTACAGCTGAACGTATTCCTTGTGGACCTACCATTGAATTGTATTCGTTGGCCAATTGAGACCATGCTGATTTTCGTTTATACATCGATATTGGATCGGACCTTTTATCTTCGATATCTTCGTACTTATTTATCAAGGTTATCAAAATTTCTCGTTCCTCGAAGCTATAAGTTTTTCGAGTGCTTTTCAACGACGAAGAAGCCATTTTAGCACAGAAAAAATGCTCAACTATCACGTCGGTCTTCCACTGTTTGTTTCTTCCCACCAACGTAACTTAATGCAATCTTGTACAAGTTTTTCTTATAATCAATGCATTATAATAGTTTCGATACAACAATTAAGAATAAAATCATGAGATGAAATATTGTTCATTGTAAAGTTTGGAACTTGTCTATCGTATATGTCTTAACCATTAATGTACATCCATTAATATATTTTATTTTAATATATTACATTTAATCGAATTAGAATTTCGACAAAAGGCATTATATTATTTAATATAAGTAATTGTCTGTTTTGTGAGATACTTAACTGATATAATTCAAGTGTTGAAATTCCAATTTATTATATATTTTTAAAATATTTCACTCGTTGATGTGATGTATTTGACGTTAACGGATAAACTGGCGCCAAAGAAAATAAAATATAGTTCGTGAATATTCCAAGTAGTTGGCGCCAGAGTAAAATCGTTTTAATGGCAGTGCTTTCAAAATACAAACATGCACAGGATGTCACGAAACTACAGGAGACAGTGGATCCAGTGACAGTGTGGTATCCGTAGTAATTGTTATAAAATGAAACGGCATGTTCCATCTGATGCAATTCCTTAGCGGACTCCTTTTGCTTCTTCTTTCGATACCGCTGAGCAATGGTGTGGATTATACGTACGAAATCGACTGCAGTAACCTACGAATGGGACAATACATCTGTCCTCATCCCGATTATGATTTCATAGATCCAAAAACGCAACAACCAAAAGGATGTACGAAAGAAAATAAAGCCAAAGGTACGTAAAATTCTTATATCTTTTCATTATTCGCAAATCTGAAAAAGTTTGACATAACCTATATCTAAAATTAAAAAAATCTGCATTTTCACTGATAATTTAATTTTTTTCTATTTTATTTTATTTATTGATGTTTAAATATTTATTATCTTCCTTAGTTTTGTAACGTGTATAATTTTATATACGTGAAATTTGAAATTACATGTTCATTATCTTGTTGTTAGTGTTGTGTCTGGCTGCGGATGGCCTCATTTGTACAGAAACAAAAAATAATACATTTAAGAAGGATATTCCTTGTAAATGGACGTAAGTATACATAAAAATAATTTGTTTACCAAATTAAAATTTGAATGTTTCAAACAAAATGGAAAAAATATTTGCAATATCCAAAATGTTTATAAACATTAGGATATATAATTTAAAAGTGTACATACAAACAATTATATATTTAAAATTTAAGCATGTAAACAAAAATACAGTAAGTAAAATTTTTTTAATTTTTTTATTAATATTTACAGAAATGGATATTCCTTCGAAACATCATTGTTACTTTCTATATTTCTTGGCATGTTTGGGGCAGATAGATTTTATCTAGGGTATCCAGCATTGGGCTTGCTTAAGCTAAGCACTTTGGGATTTCTCTTTCTTGGTCAATTTGCTGATGTAATACTTATTGCAACACAAATTGTAGGACCTGCAGATGGTTCGCATTATGTGATGCCATATTATGGTGCAGGAATTCACATTGTGACAAGTAATAACTTTACATACAGAGTGCCACAATACGATTGTTGAACAATTTCTACATACAGAAATAATGATGATCAATCTAAAAATTGTACAGCCCCTGCTTTAATCACGAACAACGATATGCAATCCTAGAATTGAGTCCTATTTCAGCAAACTTGGGAGAAAATTATGTGTATGCTATTTTAATGGACAAACAGAAGAGAATCATCTTGTAGATATGTATTTCAACGAAATATTGTATATACAGATTTGTTACTGACTTATTACCTATTGCCAGTATAGTCGTGTAATAAATATTTGTTTTTATTTCTAAGTGTTCCTTCCTTCCCTTCCTCACAGATTTTATATATATCTTTAAATTTATGGTCATTGCATTTTTTTTTATATACTGCATATCAGAAAGCTTAATTTTTACGTGCTTACCGACATATTTAAATATAATTAATTAAACAATCATAATTAAGAGAACAAAATATAAACTTGATTACGCACTTTTTGTATTGTCAAAAATGACGTTAATCGCTATTATCGCAGTTTAATTATTATCTAGCACGTCTTTGATATAAAAGTACTGGAACGCGTTACCTTGATATTCAGAAAACTTTCAGCAGTGGTAAAAGTTTGTGTTCTCTCAGAAAAGTGAAAAAAAAAAACTTCAATTCGATTAATGTAGCATCATCGAATATGAAAAGTTTTATTATAATTTTATTATTTCAATTTCTCATCTTAATTGTAGTTAGTCAACCAGTGAACAAACTAACTGTGAGTTTTTTATCACTTTACTATTTTAATTTCATCTACTTTGATAATTAAGTAAAAATAAAATTTTATAAATTATTTTTCATATTTGTTATTTAAAAAAAAAATAAATTAGAATTAACGTAATAAATTTAATATAATTATTTTATTTATATGAATTAAATATTTTTCATTTACCTTATTGAAACTCCTTTTTTTTATAAATAAATAATATCATTAAAAAAAAAATCAATAGATAGAAAATAAAAAATATATAATTATCAAATATTTCATAAATTCATCTTTTCTATAATAATTTTTTAAAACAACAGTTCAACAATAAATCTTCAAAATTTTATAATAATTTTATATAAATGAACTCCTAATTATCTGCAGGACATTGATACAGATACAAATTATGGAGTGCACAGATATCCCAGGACTTTAATTTCTTTTCCACCTTGCAAGATGAACCAATACTTCGACAAAGAAAAAGGTTTTTGTTTGAATGTACTCGGTGGTGGTAAAGCACTTTATATAAATAATACATCTTGCGGAACAAATGTGTTGAAGCCACACTGTTTCAATCCAAGATATTATTACATCTGTAAGAAAAATAAAACCATTCTGGCACAATGTTCTCAAAACAAGCATTTCGAAGTTCATTTACAAAAATGCATTTTGATATATCATGGAAAAAACACTCCTAATAAAACCAATTCCAACAGTTGTCAAAAAGTAGGTGTATTTCCAATTCCTAATGATTGTCATCAATTCTATACTTGTACAGCTTATGGTCATCGAATGAAACAAAACTTTTACATATGTCCAAAAAATATGGCCTTTGACACGAAGACAGAAATGTGTAAACCCTCAAGTACTTGCAAAGAATCAAGATTATCTTCCACGTGTTTATTTAGCAATGAGAAAGAAGATATGACTCTAGAGGAAGCAAATATGTTCTTAAGACTGGAGAAAAAGGAGAAATCATTAATGTGTGAAACGATATTTACGAGTGATGAGGAAACTATGACTACTGAGAGGAATTACAATAATGATGAAATTAAATCGACAACTACTTCTTATAACAAGCCGTCTGTATCTGAATTTACAGAACCCAGTGATAGGAAATTTATTACAACCATGATCGAACGTGCTTCGGGAACATCACATTCTATAAACACTGTCGCTTCCGAAATATATACAACTGCGATGTATTCGCCAACTAACGAAGAAATCACGTATACGACAGAGCAAAATTTGCTAACAGAAATAAAAAAGAATGGAGAAGAGAATCTAGAATCGTCAACTTCAAAAGAATCTTACAAACAAGAACATAATGGAAAAACAATTAATAATAACGTACAATCAACTGATGCAATGAAAACTTTTCCCACTGAACCAACAATTTTAGATGACACAACTTCTAGAGAAACAAGAATTGAAAAACAACCAGGTATAGAAATAAAAACTCATCCAAACGAATCGCCTAATTTTAAAAATCAATATAGTACAACAACGGCAGAATTTTATGACGCAACTCATCATTGGTACATATCACATAGTACACCGGCCACAGAAGATTTGAATGAACCATTAACTACTGAAGAACAGATTACTGATTTGCAATTAACAACAATTAATGGCAGTCTTGATGAAGAAAAACATATAAAAATAAATTCAAATGATCCATCTTCAGAAATTCCTCATATTATACAACCAAATGTAGAAATATCAACTAGTACACCAACAGCAAAAGACTTGAATGAACCAACAGTTATTGAAGAAGAGATTACCGATTTGCCATCAACAACAACTAATAGCAATCTCGATGAAAATGGACATACAAAAATAAATTCAAATGATCGATCTTCGGAAATTTCTAATATTACACAACCAAATATAGAAATACCAAATTTTATACCAGCCACAGAAGACTTGAATGAATCAATAGCTACTGAAGAACAGATTACCGATTTGCCATCAACAACAATTAATGGCAATCTTGATGAAGAAGAACATATAAAAATAAATTCAAATGATCAATCTTCGGAAATTCCTAATATTACACAACCAAATATAAAAATATCAAGCAGTACACCAGTCACAGAAAACTTGAATGAATCAATAGCTACTGAAGAACAGACTACCGATTTGCCATCAACAACAATTAATGGCAATCTTAATGAAGAAGAACATACAAAAATAAATTCAAATGATCAATCTTCGGAAATTCCTAATTTTACACAATCAAATATAGAAATGTCAACTAATACAATAGCCACAGAAAACTTGAATGAACCATTAACTACTCAAAAAGAAATTATCGATTTACCATCTGCAACAATTAATGACAATCCAGATATAGAAAAACTAGAAATAAATTTAAATGATTCATCTTCAAACATTCTTAATACTCCACAACCAAATATAGAAATATCAAATAATACAGCAATTACAGAAGACTTGAATGAACCAATAGCTACTGAAGAACAGATTACCGATTTGCCATCAACAACAATTAATGACAATCTTGATGAAGAAGAACATATAAAAATAAATTTATATGATCAATCTTCAGAGATTCCTAATATTACACAACCAAATATAAAAATACCAAATAGTACACCAGTCACAGAAGACTTGAATGAACCAATAGCTACTGAAGAACAAATTACTGATTTGCCATCAACAACAATTAATGGCAATCTTGATGAAGAAGAACATCCAAAAATAAATTCAAATGATCTATCTTCAGAAATTCTTAGTACTACACAACCAAATATAGAAATACTAAATAGTACACCAGCAGTAAAAGACTTGAATGAACCAATAACTACTGAAGAACCGATTACCGATTTGCCATCAACAACAATTAATGGCAATCTTGATGTAGAAGAATATACAAAAATAAATTCAAATGATTCATCTTCAGAAATTCCTAATATTACACAACCAAGTATAGAAATACCAAATAGTACAATAGCCATAGAAAACTTGAATGAACCATTAGCTACTCAAAAAGAAATTATCGATTTACCATCGACAACAATTAATGACGGTCCTGATGTAGAAAAACCAGAAATAAATTTAAATGATTCATCTTCAAATATTCTTGATACTCCACAACCAAATATAGAAATACTAAATAATACAGCAATTACAGAAGATTTGAATGAACCTATAGCTACTGAAGAACAGATTACCGATTTGCCATCAACAACAATTAATGGCAATCTTGATGAAGAAGAACATACAAAAATAAATTCAAATGATCTATTTTCAGAAATTCTTAATACTACTCAACCAAATATAAAAATACCAAATAGTACACCAGTCACAGAAGACTTGAATGAACCAATAGCTACTGAAGAACAGATTACCGATTTGCCATCAACAACAATTAATGGCAATCTTAATGAAGAAGAACATACAAAAATAAATTCAACTGATCAATCTTCGGAAATTCCTAATTTTACACAACCAAATATAGAAATATCAATTAGTACAATAGCCACAGAAAACTTGAATGAACCGATAGCTACTGAAGAACAAATTACTGATTTGCCATTAACAACAATTAATGGCAATCTTGATGAAGAAGAACATATAAAAATAAATTCAAATGATCAATCTTCGGAAATTCCTAATTTTACACAACCAAATATAGAAATATCAATTAGTACAATAGCCACAGAAAACTTGAATGAACCGATAGCTACTGAAGAACAAATTACTGATTTGCCATCAACAACAATTAATGGCAATCTTGATGTAGAAGAATATACAAAAATAAATTCAAATGATTCATCTTCAGAAATTCCTAATATTACACAACCAAGTATAGAAATACCAAATAGTACAATAGCCATAGAAAACTTGAATGAACCATTAGCTACTCAAAAAGAAATTATCGATTTACCATCGGCAACAATTAATGACGATCCTGATGTAGAAAAACCAGAAATAAATTTAAATGATTCATCTTCAAACATTCTTGATACTCCACAACCAAATATAGAAATACTAAATAATACAGCAATTACAGAAGATTTGAATGAACCAATAGCTACTGAAGAACAGATTACCGATTTGCCATCAACAACAATTAATGGTAATCTTGATGAAGAAGAACATACAAAAATAAATTCAAATGATCTATTTTCAGAAATTCTTAATACTACTCAACCAAATATAGAAATACTAAATAGTACACCAGCAGTAAAAGACTTGAATGAACCAATAACTACTGAAGAACCGATTACCGATTTGCCATCAACAACAATTAATGGCAATTTTAATGAAGAAGAACATACAAAAATAAATTCAACTGATCAATCTTCGGAAATTCCTAATTTTATACAACCAAATATAGAAATATCAACTAGTACAATAGCCACAGAAAACTTGAATAAACCATTAGCTACTCAAAAAGAAATTATCGATTTACCATCTGCAACAATTAATGACAATCCAGATATAGAAAAACTAGAAATAAATTTAAATGATCCATCTTCAGACATTCTTAATACTCCACAATCAAATATAGAAATACCAAATAATACAAGGACAATAAAATTCAATGAATCTATTGAAGAAGAGAATTCTGATTTTATATCAACAAATAACGATTCTGAAGTGAAAAAAGAGAAAAAAACAGATATAAATTTAAACGATCCATTGTCAGAAATACTTATTACTGGTATACCCAATATAGAAATGGAACACAATATAGTAACAACAATGAAAGTTACTGAACAATCAACTTTCAAAACCGAAAATTCTGATATTATTTCAGAAATTCCTTCCAATACCTTAACTAGTATCAAAGAAAACGATATACATACAATCATAAATTTAAATGATTCGTCAATGGAAATTACTACTCCTAGTTTACAAAAACATGTTACAAATAGAGAAGAAACATTTATGAAAATATTAAATAATAAGGAAACTGAAAATAATATATCCGCTGAAAGTGTTACAGATGCAGTAGTATCATCATCGATACTAGAAAACATCAATAACAATTTTCAGAATAATGTAGCCCCAATTTCTGTTGACTCAGCAAGTTATTCTGGTATGATACCTGAGAACAAAGTTGAGGAACCTATTTCAATACCAATTACAGAAGAAATAGATAGAATTGCTTTAAATAAAAATGAAGAAAATAATACACCATCTACAGAATCTAATATAATGAAAATAAATTCTCCCATAGAAATAAATACAAAATATACAGCAACTTCTATTAATAAAAATTTAGATAATATTGGAAATGAAAAATTAACTCTTTCTTCTGATACAAATATAAATGAAACTGATAAATCGATTTCACAAACGAATAAATTAACAACTAGTTTTCAAGATTTGATTGCTAAATGTAGAAATCATATGTCAGCAGAAACTACTACACAATCAACCAAATCAAATCCCACTAATGAAAAATATTCAGATCCATTTCATATGCAATCACATTCTCTGATTTCAGATAAGAAAAACGCAGACAAGCAAAACAAAATTTTTGTAGAAGAAGACTTATCGAAACGCATATACTCCGGAAAGACGATATCAAAAAATTTCATATTACCCATTACGTCAGCAGTGTTAAATTTCATTGATAAATTTGAATGCTATTTGAAAAATACGTTAATAAAGATATTTCACTGAAAAAATATATAAATAATAAATATTAGTGAAAATGCAAATAGTAATTTAAATATTTACATTATTATATTATTTAAATATAATAAGCATAAGGATAAAATAAACGAATTATATATTATATTTCAAAATATGTGAATATATTATATATATTTATTATATCTATATAAATTAAGATCTGAGGTAGAATTTATTGAACATTTCTAGATATTATTATTATTTTAAAATAAATAATTATACCGCAAAAAAATTGTACTATATTTCAGAGTTTTAATATTATCATGTATTTTCTCTGTCTTGTTCATTTATTAAGGTGTAATATAAACCTTTCTTTTTAATAAGTTCTGTATGAGTACCCATCTGAAAATAAAATAAAATAATACATATTTAATTTGTATTCTACATTATTGTTGAATTGTATATTTCAATACATACTTCCGCAATTATTCCCCGTTGTAATACAACGATAATGTCAGCATTTTTAATCGTACTTAATCTATGAGCAATTATTAAAACTGTTCTTCCTTGACTAACATTGTCTAATGCTTTTTGTACAATTCTTTCACTTTCATAATCTAACGCACTGAAATTTATTCCAAAAAATTTATTTAAAATTTATTGTAAAAATTATTTCAAACATACAGATTTGTTAAAATATATGTTATCTGTAACTTTTACCTTGTTGCTTCGTCCAAAATTAAAATAGATGGTCTTTTTAATAAGGCTCTTGCAATTGCGATACGTTGTTTTTGACCACCGGAAAGTTGTGCACCTTTTTCACCTACTTGTGTATTATATTTATTTGGGAATTTCATAATAAATTCATGAGCATTCGCTTCTTTAGCAGCTTCAATAATCTACGAATATTCAATAATAAATTTTGCAAAAACATAATTTTAATAAAATGTAAAAATTTCTTACGTCTTCATTTGTAGCATCCGGTTTTCCGTATCGTATATTTTCCATAATACTAGTAGCAAATAAAATAGGTTCTTGATCTATATATCCCAAAACGTTACCTCGAAGATAACTAGCATTGAGTGACTTCAAATCTTTACCATCAATTATAATTGAACCATCATTAACATCATAAAATCTAAAATATTTTATATTATTTAATAAATTAAATCACGATAAAATTAGAATTTATTTATTTATTTAACTCTAATTAAAAATACCTTTCTAGTAAAGCAGCTATAGTTGATTTTCCATTACCACTAGAACCAACAATAGCTACTGTTTTTCCAGCAGGAATATGTAAGTTAAAATTTTTTAAAATAATATGATCTGGTCTGGTAGGATAACTAAATTTCACATCTTTAAAAGTAATATTTCCCGCTAATGATTGATTTTTAATAATTTCTCCACTAACTATCATTGGTGAAGGTGACATTTCTAGATACTATAACAAAAAATTCCGAAATAAAATAAAAAATTTTTTCATTTATATTATTATAAAATATAAAATTATATCTATACCTCAAAAATCCTAGCACCAGCGCTAATACCTTTAACATATGCTCCAAATAACAATGATATTTGCGATAAAGATTTTTGTATAGTCTGTGTGGCCATTAAAAATGCCATTAAATCTCCTGGAGATAATTGCCCAGTAGATAATAAATGTCCACCGAAATATAAAGTACAAAGTAAAATACTATTAAGAAATAAATTTGTTCCTCCTTGAAATAAACCAATTCCTAAACCTAGTTTTTCAAATAATGTTGATCCTAACACAGTTTCCTTACAAAACATTTCTATTTCTTTTTCTTCAGCTGCAAATGCTTTTACCTATAAAAAAGATATATTATAGATTAGAGGAATTCTATTGCCATTATCATACATGATATTACCGTTCTAATATTTTGTATGGCTTCCTCACAAACATGTGTAGACTTAGCAAGTTGATTTTGTGCCTCCATAGATAATTTTCTTAAGCCTTTTCCAAGCATTGTACCAATAAGAATTATGGTAGGCAAAGATAACACTGTAGCTGCAGCCAGTTGTGGTGAAATCCCTATTATAGAAACTATACATCCAATAATTTGTGTAATACTCCTTAAACCTTGTGATATGCAAGTCTTAAAAGTACTTTTAAAATCTTGAATATCACTTGTTAATCGACTTACTATTTCACCACTATGATTTTTATCAAAGAATGTGATATCTTGCATCATAATTGATTTAAATAAGTCTTGTCTTAAATTCATTGCTATTTTTTCTCCTACATGTGAAAGCATATAAATATAAACAAATGTAAAAAATGCCTAAAAATAAATGTAATTTTTTTAAATTACATAGTTTTTTTCATCTAGATTATTTCATAAATAATACATAAAATTTTTCTTAATAAATTAATTATTACATACTTGTGCAATATACATACGTGCTAATGCAAATGCAGGAGTTGTTAATTGCAATAGCACAGCTTTCACAATATCTTCTTTACTTTGGCAAATTTTTGTTAATATATTTATTATATTTCCTATATTCTGTGGTATCCAAATATTTAATATAGCAACAATCATTGCACTCTAAAAATTATAAATAATTATATGAATATAAATAAAAAAAAATTTTTATATTATATGTATTTATTTAAATACTTACTGATAAAGCTATTATTAATTGCCAAATATATGGATATAAATACTCTAAAAATTTTTTCCATTTAAAGATTAATTCCTTATTATCCTTTTTAATATTTTCCTGAATTTTATATGCTTTGCCTTCAACAATTGAAGTGTGAGATTTTATTATGCATGTTCCTATTATACTACCTAATCCACCAAAACCAAATTTTAAAATTGATGAAACATTTTTTGATTTGTTAGTATTATTTATTACAACTTCTTTAATACTATTATTAAATTTTCTTTTTGTTGTATCAAACGGTTTGCGTTTTTGTCTCCATATAAATAAAAGTAAAGAATCTCTATAATAAAATATTATATTATTTATTATATTTAATATATAATAATATATATTTAATATATTGCATTTATTACATAAATTCTATTATAATTTATTATATAAGTAAAAAATGATAGAAAAATGATAGCAAAATGATACCTTGAACATCTCGAATAGTTAATATAATTTTTAAATAATACAGTTCGTAATATAGACATTTTTTAAAAATATTATGTTATACGTTATTCAATTACTAATAAATATATTAATATTCATATTATTCTTAATGATATGATTTGTCATATTTTGATTATTATGCAACAGTGAAATAATATTTATTTATCATTTTATCAGTAGAAACATTATCATTGAATAGTCTATTATATACAATGGATTAATAAATGACATTTGACGAGGTTAGGAAAATTCATAATAAAATACTGTGCACTCCCATATGTAAAATACGACAATTTTGTTTCTGAAATTTATCACTAGATAGCACTTACTGTGCTATTCATTTTTATAGCTTCTTTATTACATTCGTGTTAGTATAGACGGTTCTAAACCAGTGCTAGAATGATTTTGAAATAATAATGATGTATCAAATCAAAAGTTAAAATTAATCAATGTGAAAGAAAAATTTGTATACCTGTACGTCAAGTTCAATTATCTTAGGATAATTTTTTAACGAAATTTCTTTTAATGAAGAAAGTAGGTTAGTATTTACGGCTTATATTTAATATATTAACAATAATATGATATGAAGTTGAATACATTATGAAATATATTTACAAATAACATTATTTAAAGTAATTAAAACGTTAAGCGATGCAAAATTAATAAAATGTAAACGATTGATATAATATAATATCATTTAACATTTATTAATGTTAAATATATCATCATTCAATTCATCATCGAAAACTTAATTTTTATATCATAATCATAAACATTTTTTCAAGTATGGCTGTCGTAGTTTGGGCGCCAAATTAATTTGTATAACATATAGGCCAGTTTGAGTCTATATATAATTAAAAAAAAAAATATGCTTTTTTTTTATAGAATTGATGATATTTTATGTTTTGTTTTCTTATATTCGTATGATATTTTCATCAGATATTTTCTTTATATTAAGTTTGTAAATCGAAATGGCATCCATATTTGATTTTCTATAGTTATAATATACACTAATAAAAAGAAAAAGTAATTCATATAATTAAACAGGAATTTCATTAGTGTTAATAATTAATAATTTTATACTCACATTATTTGCTTTCTATATAGATATATGTATATCTTTAACGATAGTGTTTATATTTACATATTCTAAATAATTCAAATAGATATTGGTAGATATTAATTTGTCCATCCACTGAAACAATAATTCTTCAATATATTACTATATTCCATTGAAAGCTGATAATTTGAATATTTATTGAGATAACAGTAGAATATTATACGTAATTTCCAATAACAATTTCATGGTAATATTATTTATATATATAACATATATTTATTTGTTTTAATATGTCGAATAATATAAATCTAAGATTGTATCATTTTATAAAAGAGTTATTTAAAGAATAATTTTTTAAATTACAAAATTTAGAAAAATATACCAAAATGTTAAATAATTATTTTGCATATACATATAAATATTACATATATAAATAATTACTTTAGATTTAATAATAATATTTAATAATAAAATCGATATTTGACAATTGTAATAATAATATAAATGCATTCTTATAAAAAAAAAATAATAAACTTTTCTCTTCAAAAAACTTTAGGTAAAAATTATATAAAAACTTCAAAGGACCTCGTACATTTAAATCGATTTTATCATAAAAATAATATACATTATTCATTTAAAAGAAGAGGAAAAATAATTCTAATTACAAAAAATTTTCAAGATTTTCAAGTATCGATATTTAACAAGTCTAACAACGATAGTGGAACAACAACCGGACTATATTACACACGAAGGTCTCATGTCATTGCCAGACTCGCGAAGCACTTGAGCAAGTACTTAATACTACCCTCCGCGGTATATTCAAGGCGGGGGTGAGCATTTCAGAACGAATGTAATAGCCGCACAGGCAATTAAACGTGGCAAATACATAAATACACGTTATTAACTTTGCGTACAAAGAGGACTGCCAGGGCGATTAGGCCTTTCAAGACTTCAACTGTTCACCCTAAATCTCTTTCTCTGGTGCGCCTCCTCCTCATCCAACACCACAACAAGTCGCAATTTCAGAGCTTTTTCATGGGGCCGATGCATTACCATGCTGATCAAAGCTGATACTTCCTGTGTAACGCACAGGGAACAACGGATCCCCTCTATTGTTATCCGTTAGAAAAACCGTGCGTCTTCCGTGAGATAAATCGAAGAGTGGCTCGTTACGTCTATACATATCCAAGTACACTTTTGATTTTCATTGGCTCACGATTCTTCTACTTTTGATTCATTTCAAATAATGGTACAATTTTCTGTTAGTGCTAGAATTGGCACTTCAGTCCTTTCTTTTTTTCTTTAGTATTGCATAGGAAAAATTAATTTATCTTCATTATTTTTCGTAATAGAATATTCTTTTTTGAAAGATAAATTCTGTATGATTAAATCATTTGTGCATTTTTGTCGATTAAGAATTAATCAATTTCTTTTTTTTTAAATTACAAGGACAAAGATCAATTAATAATTAAAAACTAAGAGATTGTATTAATATAATGAATAGATTAAGAACTAAAAAAATGGAACTTATATTAATAAAATATGTATATAGAAATGTATATATAAATTGATATCTAAATAGCAAAAGGCGTCGAACAAACAAATATTTCAAGCCTTGGCGAAAAAAAATTCCGATTCAGAGTTGCTTTTCCATTTTTAACGAATGGAAACACAGAGGGAAGATAGGTGAACAGCGTGGGCGGTCGGTGGCGCGTTAAAACAGTTTCTTCGACAAAAGCCATCGAGGCTCGAGGTCAGCCTCTTAACCCAGATTCCTAGTCCGAAGGCGAGAAGACAGCTGCTTTTGGTTACACACGATCAACGCGCTCAATCTATGCAATTCCCTAATCCATCCTCCTTTCCTTCCCCTCTCGTGATTTCTGAAGAAAAATCCTGCCGCCGATTTAAATTTCTCTGCAAGACAAAAAGAAGGGGAGAACGACATGAAGAAAAAACGAGGAGAGAAGAAAAAACACAAAGAGAGAGGAAAAATAGAAAAAGAAAAAAAAAAAAAGAAACGAAAGATATTCCAATATAAGCGTAATAACTACAGCGCTTGTGATACGGTGATGGTAAAAGAATGGTCCAAATGAAGCCTCCTAAATTTCAACACCCTCTTCGACCACCTCCAACACTCCTCCTCCTTCGACTTCTCTTTGCCTTCCTCTCTCTCTCTCTCTCTCTCTCTCTCTCTCTCTCTCTCTCTCGCTTTTTCCCCTGCTCCCTTTATGCCCTCGCCCCGGTTTTCTCGATACCAGGGCTCTCTCTCTCGGCACATCCAGTTCTGTTCCTTTTCTTCCCGTTCCTTTTCCTCTCTCTGTCGGCGAGCCGATGCCCTCGCAATCAGCCGGCAAAGTGGAGTCGCGCGGTGGCTGGAACGGTGGCGGCGTATCCGTGAAACACGCGGTGTAAGTGCCGGGGTGGCGATGACGCAAAGTCAGCGTGGGCCAATGGACTTGGCTGGTGTACGGGAGGTGTTCGGTGGGCCACGATTGGGCGTGGCTCGAGCCGAGGGGTGCGTCACGAGGGGTGCCCACCACCTTCGCCTCTCGCTGCGTGGGGGAATGCCAAAGTGTGCCCCGGGGTGTAATATCATACCGCTAGGTGGATAAATAGACGCACGAAACTAGTAGTAGGGAACGAGTGGGGAACGAGTAACGAACAGAACAGCGGTTGAGGCGAGGGGAAAAGGAAGGAGATCGGGGGAGGACCGCGAGGAGGGTGGTTTGGCGGGGGAAAGAGGTGGATGGTAAAAGAGTAACCGGAGGATGACGGACACGCGAGAGAAGCGTGGAGGAAGGCGGCGAGGTGGGGAGGGGGGGAGGAAAGAGCGAGAGAAAGGGAGGAGGAAATGAGGAAAGGGTCGTGCACCGAGCGAGGGTTACTCAAGGGGGTTAGGCAGGAAAGACGAGGAGAGGCGAGACAAAGAGTGTTGGAACAGGACAGGAGGGATCGGTTAGACGAATAAGAGTAGGGGAAAATTGGGTGGCTACGCGATGCGAGCGAGACTAGACTAGAACAAATAATGGTTGTAGCCATCCTTAGCTTCTGAGGTATTTTCCACTCGTGCGAGTTGCACGCATTCGAACGCTGGCCCAACCTTGCTCACGACGAACCGTGGAACCGTTTGTATGCACAGGCCGTGTCGTGGCTTTCGTCGAGGGATCGACGGCGGCGGCGGCGGCGGTGGCGGTGGTGGATGTTGCCCCTGTGGTAGTGGTGGTAGTGGCGTTGCTGTTGGAAAATGCAGAGAACTCGCCCCCCGCGCTTCTGGACGATATTCAGGGACGTACGCGGGGATGTCAAAAAATTTTTGCGGATAAACTGTTTGATATTGCAAAGCACACGTTATCGAAAGGAACTGGCAAATCTTGTTAAAGATTGAAAAAGATGAGAGAAAAGTAATCTGATCCATAGTTTGAGGATTGAGGATGGAGCTTTTTTGTTTTAATCGACTAAAATTTGTTATTAATCTCATTTTGTCATTGGCAGAAAACAATGGAATTATCGCTTAATCATCAAACTCTAAGATTTCTTTTTTCACGGAACGATTAAATTTTGCAAAATATAATCTTCACGCTAAATTTTAAAATAAAGAAAAAAACAAAGGATTACATTCAAATTCTAAGAGGGGAAAAATAAAAAAATATATAGCATAGTCATCGATCGTCCAAACTCCCCCGTCCAATCTGGAATCATCGTTGTCTACAGAGGCTTGCTTACCATCCGATCCGTATCGTCTCGCATGCGATTTTGTAGAATGCTGAGCGCAGTGTGTAGCGAAACAGGATGTTGTCAGCTGAAATTAAATTTTCCTCCTAGAGCCGGCGGGTCGCTCGGCAACCCGATATTGTGGGCGTTAAGCTACGTACACAAGCGACGACGGACGCAGACAATGCTGCTGCGAACAGTTCGACGTTCACTTTGCTTCGAAAATCGCCTTATCCTGCGATACGGCAACAGGGGGAGGGGAAAGGAAGG